AATGGACTCTATATAGGGGTTGGACATCATATAGGGGCTGGACGCTCTACTGAGTCCAACATATATACAGTCAGAAAGTGCAATAACTAGGCACAAAACTGACAGAGTACTGAAACATTCGACGTCCTGACACCTAGCTTCAACACATCTCCGTAGCCAAGTTGGAAGGCTGTCGGTTAGCGCTACGGAGATGTGTTGAAGCTAGGTGTCAGGACGTCAAATGTTTCAGTACTCTGTCAGTTTTGTGCCTAGTTATTGCACTTTCTGACTGTATATAGTATCATGTTACAGTGATGGAGAGTTACTCTTAACTCGTATCCATATGTCCTTTTCTCTTCTACATTATTATTATTATCATTATTATTACCACAAGGGAATGGTCTCCAACTGCGGAGAGTGCTCAATGCAAGCGAGGCAGAGCTTCATCACACACAAGCGGAAAAACCGTCAGAGATCAAATTCCATTACACAGTGTTTCACCGTTCAAGCAACGGATCATCAGATGGTTCCATCTGATGATCCGTTGCTTGAACGGTGAAACACTGTGTAATGGAATTTGATCTTTGACGGTTTTTCCGCTTGTGTATCATTATTATTATTATTATTATTATTATTATTATTATTATTATTATTATTATTATTATTATTATTATTATTATTATTATTATTATTATTATTATTATTATTATTATTATTATTATTATTATTATTATTATTATTATTATTATTATTATTATTCCCGTTTGTCTCTTTCCCTCAAACTAGTGAAGATTATTATTATTAGAAAGGAAAAGGACATATGGAAACGAGTTAAGAGTAACTCTCCACCACTGTAACTAGATACTATATACAGTCAGAAAGTGCAACAACTAGGCACAAAACTGACAGAGTACTGAGACATTCGACGTCCTGGCACCTAGCTTCAACAAATTTCACTAGCGCTAACCGACAGCCTTCCAACATGGAAGGTTCAAGGTTATGGAAAGACCAAAGAGGGTTATTGGCTCAATACCCGAGTTTCAAATTACTATTATTATTATTACGAAGTCTGAAGAAAATGTTGAACGGCCTCTGCTGGGATGACGACTACACCATAGCTCAGTGGTTAGAGCATCGCTGGCTACAAGCGAGGGTCCCTGGTTCGAGTCCTGGTGGTGACAGTCAATTTTTTCTTCAGACTTTTTCCGTTTGTCTCTTTCCCTCAAACCAATTATTATTATTATTATTATTCTGACCTCTATAATGTAGAAACTTTGGTTTTTGTTGCCTTCTGATGTCTATGTCTCTTTAGTACCAAATTTTATGATAGTAGGCCAATTTTTGAAGATATCGATTTTTCGCCTGAAAAGGGTAGGAATCCAGGTGGTTTTGGGTAGTCCTCAAAGGGTTAACGCCAATATGGCACCCCCTAACGCCAGGCGTGCGCTTGTGAACTCAAGATTTACGCCCTCGATTCAGCACCTGTTACAATAATGGACAATTAATATCTATACTTTACACTGCCTCCACTTAGCAGCTTCTCCTCTTCACACTTAACACTTCACGCTTTCTTTTTGAGCGCCTTGCTGTGTGGCTGTGTATATCTTTAGTGGACCTGACAACCCTGCTTTAGTTAGATATGTTGCCTGAAGATTGAAGACTCAAGAAACTTGGAGCAGCAACGGATTGTGTTTTCTTTGTGAGGACCGCTTCCATTGTGAACTAATCAATTAGATATTTTTTGATATTACTCAAATCTGTGGACAGCAACTGTTTCGCTCTGTTAGAGCTCCTCAGCGCAGCTCAGAGGACCGAAGCGCAGCTCTTCGCAATGAAATATGTTTGCGTGAAGCAAAGCATTTTTATAAAGAGCTGCAAACCCCGCCAAGAGTGCTTGAACTGCTCCAAGAGCAGGGAGCGTTGCATATTTTTTGATATTATTTTTTCAAGGATTCTCCAGAGGCAAATGGATGCCTATCAAAGAGAGTCTCCTATGGAAAGGAAGTCAAGGCGGCTGTTATGAGAGAGGAAAGAAGGGACATGACGAGGTGAAAAAATCACATTATTACTTTCTACACAAATCTAGTCACGTGACAAAGACGTGCAGCTACGCCATTGTCACGTGACAAAGACGTGAAGCAACGTCATTGTCGGGGCATGGAAACATTATACCAAACTCTGAGAGCTTACTGCAATGGGTCAATATGTTTTGGGACATCTTCGCAGTCATTGCATCTAAATTGCAACCGGGCGTAAGCACCACCAAACCCTGCCTGCAAGTATTGAAGAGGAAGGACACAAATGAAACAAAGATAGTATTGTGGTAAAGAGTCATTGAAAATTTGTCAAAATCACGTCCATTGGACTGTATCAATTGGACACAAACCTTACTACGTTGCTTTGTTTGTGTGTGTGTGTGTTTGTGTGTGTGTATGTATGTGTGTGTATGTGTGTGTATGTGTGTGTTTGTGCGTGTGTGTGTGTGTGTGCGTATGTGTGTGTGGGTGTGTGTGCGTGTATG